TAGCGGGAACAGTAACAACAACAACGGGAACCGCGCCGGCAACGGGAAGCACAACGGCGGACAAGTCGTCGGTAGTTACGGTGGAGGAGGAGGAGGAGGAGGAGGAGGTGAAGGTCAATCGTCGAGGAGACAAGAGCAACATCAGCAACGAGGATCGGTAGGAAGGGAGCATCGGGATCATCGGCATCATCACCATCACCATCATCACCACCATCATCATCATCACCACCACCATCACCATCAGGGTCGGGACAGGTCCTCGTCGTCGTCGTCGTCGTCGTCGTCATCGGGACAGCAGCGCGACTCTAAAGCAAGCACGGTGGCTGCAAACACCGATGAGCTGGACCCGGCCGCGACGAATGCGACCAACAATTTCGAATACGACGACAACGAATGGGACATCGGTATAGGAGATTTGATAATCGATCTTGATGCGGACATAGAGAAGACGAGGGACGAGAAATTGAGCTCAGGGACAGGCATGGCTTCTACGCCTGCCTCGGCAGCATCGACTTCGAATACCCCAAATCATCACCACCACCACCATCATCATCATCATCAGCTTCAAAGCTCCTCGAACGGCTTGACCTCCTCCGGACTGTCTTCGTCCGTGGTCGCGTCAACAGGGCCGAACGGTTGCGGGCAATCCTCCTCGTCGTCGTCGTCTTCGTCTTCTTCGTCCTCCTCTTCGTCGTCGTCGTCGGCGTCGTCCTCCTCGGTGTCCTCGTCCTCGTCCGCGTCTTCGTCTTCCTCGTTGCCGACCTCGGTGTCGTCCGCGTCGTCTTCCTGCGGTCTGAACTCGTCCGGACGGTCCAACAGCCCCGGTAACGGGAACGGGAGCATCGTAAGCGGCATCGGCGGGATCGGCGGGAACGGTGCCGGTAGCGCGAACGGTTCCGCCTCGATCGTACCCGGGACGGGTGGCAAGCAGATAAACGCCGTCGCGAGCGGCGTGAACGCCGCGCACGGTAATCCAGGGAATCCCGGCAAGATGGCCGTTGAACATTCGGCCACCGTCGACAAGGGCCTCAAGATGAAGATCAAGCGCACGAAGCCGGGCACCAAGAGCAGCGAGGCGAAACACGAGATCGTGAAATCGAACGAAATGAACGGAACAGTGTCCTCGCAGGACTCGGCCGCCGGGGGTGGCCCCGTGCCGTCCTCCGGCGGCTCCTCGTCCTCGGCCGGCTCGAGCGGCTCGTCGGCCGGATCGGCGATCGGACAGAACGCTCAGAACTCGGACTGCGCCACGGGACTCGGCGGCAACGGTGCCGGTGGTGGTGTTGGTGGTGGTGTCGTTGGTATCGGTGTCGGTGTTGGCGTCGGCGTCGG